CATATCTCATTACCAACTTTGAATGAAGTTTTTAATTTTTAAAGATATGTATATTAATTAATTATTTTTCTTAAATTTTTCTAATTATATCTTTGTTATCATATATAGCTCTATTTTTCTACTTGCTATATCTATTTCTACTATCTTTTAAACTTAAGATCTATTCTAGTATTGATTTTAACTTCGTTAAAGATATCAAGAAGTTCCAATATTAAAGTCAAAAGATAATATTTTTTCATAATCACTTTATTTAGTCTACTATAACCTACACACTTTTATAAGGATACAATTCTTTTATTTCACAAAGAAATTGGCATATATATAAGAAAATTTCAATTTTAATTAAATATTTATAAAATATTTTTTTCAATATTTATTTTGAACCAAGCCAACTTGTGTTAAAATGTATTTTAAATTGATCCAAAAAATAGTTGGTCTTTTTTTTGAATGTCAATTTTCTTATCATAAGGTTAAAATTTTGGTATTAAATGAATGTTATTATTTTTAATTATAACTTAAAATTTTATATATTATTTTAAAATTTTGTCACAAATAATATTTGAATGAAGATTTATTCTTGCATAAATAAATAAATAAACAAATTTTAGCTTATATAAATATCATTCTTCCAAAAAATAAAAAGTTGATTTTTTAAATATAAAGTAAACTTCTTGATTTGATGTTTACTTGTATAAATCAAGAAGAAACTCATAGTTATAAGATATCCAAGCTTTATGAAGATTATACATTTATAATCATAATATATCTACAATGATAGGTTTAGTTAGAGATTTTATAATATTTAATTTTACTAATATTTTGTAATCTTTTATAATTACTAATATTAGTAGAATTTGATATATGATATCTTTAGAAGATAAATATTGTCTATCTATGATTTTTATAGTTAAAATATTATACATTTGTACCAACAATGTGTTATGATATTAAGAAAGAATTTCAACATAATTACAAATAAAAGCATTAGAATTTGACAAGGTAAGAGTAGAAATCATATAATTTTAAGATCTTAAAAAAATCTTGTAGAAAAAAATAAAAATTAAAAATTAAATAATAATAATATAGGATTGTTGCAAACTAATATTATACAAAAATCTAAGTATATGATATTAAATATTATTAAACAAATATTTTTTTTAATATATCATCTTTTAATATTATATTTCTTATTTTGTCATTTGTCTCTTCTTAAGACAATATTAAACAATATGTTTTGTTTTTCCATAATATAAGTATAACTTTTTCAATTAAGATTGGATTACTTCTTTTGGTATAAGAAGTTTGAAGTGTATAGCATCAATTTGCATATCTTCTACATTTGATTGTTTATTTTATTTGTAAAAGTAATAGTAGCAAAAGTATAAAAAAGTTAAATTACCATCATACAACTTTCTAACTAAGCTCTAAAATTTGGTTTTTGTATTTGATAGCAAAATAATTTTTTTAATTAAATATATAAAAATCAAGCAAGTTGAGAAATATATTTTTTTTTTATCATTTTGTAATTTGTAAAAAAATTGGTTAATAAGTGTTATATTATTCTTTTCAACATGAATTTTTAGTTGATAAAGCTGTGATACATATATTAGTACAAATCAAAGAAGTATTTTGATATTTTTGATATTAATATAATAAAAATATAAATAAATTATTTTTTATATTATAATTATAACTTTAAAAAAATATATGTATTCTTAAATTAATAAACTTAACTCAATGTCCTTTTATATCAATTTTAAGACACAATCTATGCTTTAAGATTATTTTACAAGAATGTATGGTAATATATTTTGTGTTTCAATATTACATGCTATTCTTTCTATTTTATTAATTTTTATTAAATTATATTTAATTTGATATAACCTACTAATTTTATCATTAATCTTAGAAATAAAAAATGTTAATTTAAATTACTTTTTTAAAAAAAATATATAATATCATTGCATATATTTATTTAATTCAAATATAGATGAATTTTAATAAGGCATAATTTACAAGTTTACAATTTTTTATACTACTTTTTAACTAATTGAAAGTATTGATTTTTTCAAAACAATCATTTTTTATTAAGAATGCAGGCAAATGATTCTCTTGATTTAGTATTAAGGAAAAACAAAGCAAAATCATTCCACCAATTAAGCAATAATAAAATTAATAAAAAAGATTATGAATTAAAATTTCAACAAGACTTCTAGAAAATATTTACAGCATGACTATATTAAAATTTTATTAAATAAATTAAAATAATGTACTATCGTCTTGTCATACAAAATTGAAACCATGTAGCTTAAATGATTGTGTGTCAAACTTGTGAAGGGAAAAAATAAATAAAATAATAATAATAATAATCAAGACAAAAATGATTGGGCTTTGAACTCACATTTTTCAATTAAAATTGTAAGTAAAGGATGCACAACTACCAACAAGTATAGCAACATAAAATCAAAGAGGGTGATTAATTGAAATGTAAGATTAATCACATGCACAAAAACTCAGAAACAATCTCTACTAAGTTTTAAAATTTAGATGAAAATATTTCCCCATTATACAAAAGAGTGATAAATCATCAATTTCAAGGACAAAAAAAAGACAGAAGCAAGTTTCAACAAATGAAACGGCAGATACAAGAAGAAAAAAAAGTTAATATTTATCAGAATCAGCAGAAGGGAGCTAAAGAACCACACAACACAACACTCCACCAAACCTCATAACCACTCATGTTTGAAGCGCCGCCTCGTAAGCAACAATACCCACCGCCCGCACCCCCTAACGAGGCAGTTTTAAAAAAAATATATGAAAAGAATATCTTCGTCTTGTAGACACCCAACGGTGCATGGTTTTCACACCAATCATGTCTTGCTTCAGGTACACTTTGTCCATTGGGAATGGTCCATACTTGTCCTAGCAGCTCTCTCTCTCTCTCACTTTCAACGCAATGAAATGTCAAACAGCTTGTGAGCTATGCGCTGTGAAGAAGCCCATCTTTAACAATGTGGGTGTTTTTTTTCTCTAATCTTCTCAAGTAAACACCTGAACTGTTATTGTGGTTGTTGTGGTGGTGGTGGGGTCACACTATGCTGTAGACGATACGGATATAGTGCAGAGAGGGAGACAGAGAGAGAGTGTGTGTGTAAGAAAGATCGGTGAGGGGCTATCAGTTTTGGTACATGTGGGTTTTATTAGCTGGTCATTGACCTTCGATTTTTCCAAAGCAAAAATGAGGTGCAGGAATCATGATGAGCTGCACGAGCAAGTCCAACGCAGACTCACTCACTCAAACAACAGAATATCTTTGACGCTGCCCACGAAATGATGCCTGCATGGTCCGGAATTCTTCGGATATGATCACGTGGACGACGCGCTAGAATGTGCACTAGTGGGGTTTGTAGTTGAGGTACTGCAGCAGCAGCAGCAACAACAACAACAAAGGGATTTGAAACAGCTTGCAACAGTACATTTCTCTGAGTTGGAAGCTGGCATCGACAACGGGTATGGCCACAGCCACTAGCTTCAAGGAATGGCAGTCCACAGCCAGCCGCGAGGACGACTCGCTTCGAGATGTAAAATCTAGGGTTAGGACATCGGTCTTGCTGATGGTTTTAATCCTCGTTGTCCCGTTGAGAACATACGACGACCATTGTGAAGGTCGCTCTCAAATTGCCGACAGATCCAGAGCGTAATTGCTTTTCGATGTAAGAATAAACTGTCGCAATGGAATTATTTGGAATAAACAGGAACTTGTGTCAGTGAGAGGCGTTTCCAAAACCTGCAGCGACACAAACCGTAGGTATCCACAACGCAGCCAGTACTCTGTGCTTGCTAACGGAGGGACGTGGATGAAGCCACGCCACAAAATCCACAATCAACCGTACCATGACAGTTATCATGCTTACCTAAAAATCGTAGTTATTGACATGATGATCACGTTTTACCTAAGGTGCTGGGTTGTTAACCATTGATTTAGTTAATCCTCCCTGAGGACATTCAATTCACCCTTCAATTGTAACAAGCTGCACGATGAAGAAAATAATATCCAAAAATGTTGTCAGCAGGATACTCCGAAACATGCAAAGGTGATTGCAGTGGATACTTGAGCCCTAAATACGGTGGGTGTTCAGCACAAGACCAGGAACAGATTTACAGATACATCCCAGTTATTAAATTAGGGGTCCAGAGTACTGCCCTAAAACTTGTGGCACAAGCATGGCGCAGACATACAGAACGAAAGCCCAGCAAGTGGGGTGATGTAGGGCACACTGCAGAGCTTTGCAGCAGAGGATCCATTCCAACACTGACACTCCGCGGTGCATACATTTAGATTTCAGACCTGCCACAATGCTCGTGTCAACCTCTGCACCGTTTTCATCTCCCAGTATGTTTCAAACTGTAGTCTCACTTATGAAGTGAGCAATGCGCTAAGCATCGCTGGTAGAGCTGGTGTGGGTCATGTGAAGTCACACGGAGAAAGACGCAGGGAGGCACTTTTTATACACAAACAGAACAAGCGCCAGGAAAAACCGAAAGCAACAAAAAGGAGAGGACAACCAAACTTACGGCGGACGCCATCGAGTAGTCAGAGAAAACTTGCATTAAGAGCAACATAAATCGCAATAAAAAAAACCAGTCGCAACCAAAACAATGAAGCAGCAGCGTCAGCATTTAGCATAGTAACAACGGAAATGGCAATAAATCATCAAACACGTGTTAAATGTGTGACTTCCTGGCACCACTAACAACGAAGTCTGCGGTACCAGAGTGCATGCGTGCCAGCAAACTACCAGGCAAACCACATAACCTAGCGTGATTGAAAAAGTATATTTAACATACTAATTCACAATCTCAACATCTCACATTCTCCTGGAAACTCATTCAGTCACAAGCAATGACAATAAACTACACAAGTAAACAAAGTTACCACATAACAACAGGGATAACGAATCCCACGCCAGGAAAGAAAACTCAGGCATCAGCCCCAACCAAAAAAAAAAAAACAAGTTGTGGACAAATCAGCACAAGAATGTGTATGTACAACATGCATCGCTGCTTCAGCTTGCGCCCATTTTCATTTCTCTATATTTCTCTTCTTTGCACACATCATCTGGTAGTACCTCCATCGTCACTGCCGTCTCTCGTGTATGCTACACCTTCAACCTTCTCTTGCCGCCAAAAAAGAATCTATCGTGACCACCCCATATATTCACACCTCCCTCTCTCTGTACACCGCCACCTCCACCTCCACGCGCACCCTCCCTCCCTCTCCTCACCCCCTTCCCTTCCCTTCCTCTTCCTCTACGACGGCGGTGCGCACGTCCGCGTCACCGGGTCCCATAACGCCGGCAGCAAATACTTCCTCTCCCCCACTCCCCTCACGTTGTAGCTCGCCCCCGACACCGCATCCTCTTGCAGCTTCCCAGGGTACCCTGGATACGCCCCCTCCCCGTAGATCCCCGCGCACGCCGTCCCTGCCTCCAGAGCCGCGCCCACATCGCCCTGGTACCACCCGTTCATGTAAGGATCCGTCGCCGCGCCTGCCAGCACGCTCCCGATGTTCATGATCATCCCATCCGCGCCCACGTCCCCGTTCGGAGCCACCACAGGCACGAACTCCGCGGGGCCGTACTCCGCACCCGCCAACGGCCATGCGCACATTCCCGGGCACTGCTTCCCCGCATCGCCCACCCACGCGTACGCCACCTGTTGCCCTCCCGTCGCAGCCGACGGAGCCAAAAACGAATGCGACCCGCACGAATTCATGCACATCCCCTCCACCATCACGTCCTCCGCCGTCAGCACCACAACCACCCCCCTCGGATCCGCCGGAAACCACCCCAGCGACTCCACCACCAACAGCTCCAAGTCCCACCGGCTCAGCCTCCGCCCCAGCCTGCACTCCCCAAAGTCCACCTCGCCGCGCAGCTCCACGCTCCCCGCCACTCCCCTCCTCGCATTATCCTTGTACGCCGCCGTCGTCTTCCACCACCTGCTCACGCTCGCGTCCCCCTCCGCCGACTCTCCAAACGACGCAAAGAAATCCACAATTGCCGATCGCGCCACGCTGCTGAACCTCCCGTACCACACAATGTACACATTCATGCTCGACGACTCGGACAGTAACGCCCCGCCGTGGTAGGCAAGGTCAAACACGGCTCTCACCGCCCCTGCTGCACCATCCTCTTCGCCGCCACCTCGTGCATCCACCACGGACAACGTCGGGTGATCATCATCACCAGCACTCCGCCCCACGCGTCCGCCGCCTTGATTGTCAAGAATCGAGAACATGGGATTTCTTGCAGCCACAACGCCGCACGCGAACACCATCCATACCACCAAAACTAGCAAGCTCCAGCTCGCCATTCGTCCTCACAATGACACAATTTAGCACAGAAATTTCACAAAGACACAACTTCACTCGATAATTCTCGCACTTATCAAATCCCTTTGAAATGCACTCGCATGCACTAAAAGAGAATCGCTGCCCTCCGACGCCCCCACGCTCTCGAGTCAGCACCCCTCTTATCCCAAAGCCAAGGTCGACACTACCGCCAACAGCAGCAGCAGCAGCACGTTGGACCCCACCTCACTCAATCACTCACCGAAACCAAAACGTGAGCCAAGAACACAACGATCCCACCCACAACACAATGAAAGATTATACCAGATGCTTCTCGAGTTCCAGCGTGATAATTTCACGGATTGAGAAGAGCACATTCCTGGTCCTACAACAATCCTTTACACCACTGCCCACACTTGCTACTGAGACTCTCTCCTAGCACCGAGGCAATACCAGTGAAGACAATTGCGCTGGACTACCAAATTAATCGAGCTAGAAAGTCACCGTGGCCCACGAAAACACAGACTTGTTCCCTCCTTCCTTCCTGCACACTCTACCACACACCGGAGCAAACCTCCACGTTAAATTCCCAGCACTTATGCGCGTGCAGCCTCGCCACTGGAAGCGTAGTGCGTCGCCCTGTCTACCGACCTGTATGCTGTGGGGAGGTACCTAGTCCTCCTTCCAAGTGGTACCTGCTGCCCTGCTGCCGTGTCTGGTAGGGCTGGCGATGGACAGGATCTTTTGACTGGGCACCGTTCTCACGGTCACCCGACCGATGTAGACGCCGATAATCCCCGTAGTCGTTGATATTCGTCATCATGGGTGTGGAATCGTCGTCCGACGTGGATGAGGAGGCCTACTCTAGAATTTGGCTCCGTGTGCATGCCTTCGCGGATCCCCCCTTTCAGACGTGGCTGGCGGGGCATCTTCGGATTCCCGGGTTGGTGTCGCATCGGACCTCGTCAACCGGACCCGTTATTCTTTTCTACCCGCTGGCTGCTCCGGAACGTCATGCCCCCCCCCCCTCACCCTCTCTCTCTCTGAAACCCTAATTCCTGGACATGATCTTATCTTTGCTTTTGTTGGTTGTGGGAAGTCAAGGCCACATCTTGTTGTGTTTCATTTGTGTTTCCTTTGATGTTTTTATGATTTTTGTTATTATTAATATTCTTGAAGAGAAAAAGCTCATGTGTTTCATTTTCAAATTAAGAACTGGAAAGTGAAGAGGGTTTTTAATTGCATTGAATCGGCTTTAAGATGTGATAGCCTGAGTGTGTGTGTGTTGTTTTATTTTTATTTATTTATTTATTTTGTTTAAATTATACATGAAGCTGATCAAAAATAATAAACAATCACTTAAATTAACTTATTTTATATATATATTTTTTTACAGTAGAATTGTTTTTATGTAGTTGTTTTATCAGAAATGTCTGTTTTTGGTATAAAATGAGCCTGAAGTAACTGCTTTCAATCTTCCGATGGCAAGATAGCATTGTTTTATATAATCAAGAGAGTGTGTGAAATCATACATTGTTTGTATGCTGTATTGTGAGCAAAAAAAGTCATTATGTGGTTTGGAACTAGCTAAAAACTATTCAAATGATAAGAAAGTACCAACTAAACAACATTAAAATCACAAACAACAACATGAACAAAAAAAAAAATAATAATAAATAAATAATATAAAACAAAAATATAAAAATGCTATCAAGGATACACATAAAAATGTAACTACATGAATCTTATGTTTTGGTTAGTGGAATATATAATGGATATATTTATATACAAATATGGTATCTTATTTATTAAACTTAATGTCTATTTATCTACAAAAATCACTTATTGGTTGAGGTTGTTTGCACTGTTTAGAATCATAAATTTAAATTGTTTAAAATCAATTCTACCTCACCTTGAACCCTCTTCCATCTCCTATCCTTGTTCTCAACCCTATTTAGAACACTTCAATGCTTGGTTCAATCTAATGGCATAAAAATGATCACTAGCTTGGTAAATATATTCTAATATATATATATATATATATATATAGAGAGAGAGAGAGAGAGAGAGATCCACTAAAGTTTGAATTGATTTGGATATAATGGTACACATGCTAAAAATAATAATCATTAAATACTAAAGTAAGTTTTAGAAGTCTTGAAATAATTATTGGAACAACATCTTATATTTCCTTCTTTATGAATAATGAGGCCTCCACTCCCTCCCCTTCTTTGGCATGACTAAATTGCTACTCTTTTAGCCTCATTAGAAATGGGTTTTTGTTTCTTCTGCTCCTTCTAATAGCTTTGGTCCCTATGTTGTTGTAGATGTTGCTCTCAAGATGTTGCTCTCAATTATAGCATGCGCACTATGGCTAGCCATGGCAAGCTCTATTCTCAATTAAACTCACTTGTTTCATGACAATCAACAAATCTCAAGGTGAAACAATCTATGTTTTAGGATTTTGTATGCCAAAATATGTATTCTCTCATGGGCAATTATATATTGCATTGTTGTGTATTGAATCCAAACATAATATCATACTATTTTCTAACAACATTGAATTCTTTAAATATGTTTCAAATTTTGTTTGTAGTGAAATATTCAAACTCTAACATTTTCCATAACTGTAAGCCAATGAAATATTTATGTATATTTTTTTTCCAATGCAAAAGTAATGGCCACATTGCTAGTATATATATAAGCATATATAATTGATGCATAAAGACATCAACTATTGTAAAATTATAACTATAAGTTATAAATTAATCATAACTTTATTAGTAAGTTAATGATCTTTTACAGATATCATTACTTAAAGACATCAATTAAGTTATTTAATATAGATTAAATGATGATTGTTAATTACATCAAAATTTTAGATGCTTTCAATTTATTAAAAAGTGATTTAACTCAAGACTATTTTAAGAATGCGGTTTTATGGTGCATTCACATGACTGATAGTCCATATATCTTTGTTAACAACATATTTTGTATACTAGATGTGTACATGTATGCAAATATTTTATGTTTCTACATTTCAATACAATATTTCTTTTCCTTTTTCATAAAATAATAATGCTTACATCTCAACTAATTGATATTTATGGAAAGCTACAAAATTTCTATTCAATGTTAAAATGTGTGAAAATGCATCTGCTTCTCTTAATAATAATGTGTTTTTATTTTCAATAAAAAAATAATATAAATCAAATTTATAAATAAATGATAAGTTGCTAAACTTCCAAAAACAATTAATCAACTTGTTGTGGAAGTTTGTGGAAAGATAATACAATAAACCATGGGTGGTAACCTTGCTACATTTTGGAACCTTTCTGCTCTCTTTTGTAACCTTTTTGATTTACTTTGGTTAGACCTTTTGAAGAAGAAAGTAATACAAATCATGTTGTAATGCTTGCACCTGAAGTTTTGTGTACCAAATGATTCAAAAGAAAATTAGAAATTGAACAACGAGTTTTTAGATTTTGAGATAATAGGATAAAACACAAAACTTGAGTATTTTTCTATCTAATGTATTTATTTTTATCTGGTACATGGCTTGAGATTATTTTTAAACATTCCCTGTGTTGCATGGACATGTTGATTCAAGCTTCTAATCAAGTAATTTAACAGAATAGATTGATTTAACAAAACATCTCTATAGATGCATGTGGATTAAAACTCCAAAAGAATTAACATACACTCAACTCAATCATTATTATATATATGGAATAACTTCCGTTATTAGGTTTACTTTTTGATTTTCAATTAAGAATCAATTCAATAAGAACATGGGTTTATACAAAGTATGATATGATCAGAGGAGATACTACTAATCTTTGACTGCGCTAAGTTTCAATTCATCAAAATATAACCAATCATAATTAATACGAAATATTGATAAATAATCAAATAATACTTAAAGAATAGCATGAAAGTTATGAGGTAACATGTCTAATCTGTGTAAGATTTGAACATTTATCACTTTTTGAGTAACTAACTCAGAAAAACTTTAAAATCCAAAATAAATCATGCAATAGAAAAAAGTAGACAACTAAGGAAAATGACAAAACCTGACTCACGGCAGTGATTTTCACTGGATTTCGCAATATTCCAATTAAAGCCTCTCCACTACAATGAAAACATATATTCCATAAATATGCATTCACGATCGCATAATACTTTTCTAACTAGATTTCCCAGTTTTTGATATAAAATCCTAATCACCAAACACCACTTTTGCAAACCATCTTTCTATAGAGCTAACATTCCATTCACCCATAGATTATTATAACCCATCATTTCATTCAGCTCACTTAGCGGAAAAAATAAAATAAAATAACATAAAATAAAAATGATCATTAATCAGTTAAAACACCCTTACGCTCACTCACACACCCACACCAATTACTATCAGGCTAAGTTTTCATCCATGCGATGCAAAAGGATGTAATAATGGGAGATGAAAATCATTCATTCATCCAAAACGGCGAAAAAAGTGACGCTGGTCAAGAGGGCCGTTTTGTAGTCGAAAGAGCGGAGACTCTGTTTTTGGAGAGAATTGACGACGTTGATCAGCAACGTCGCCATATCCGAGCTCGGTAGTCTACTGGGGGATGCCTTCTCCATCGCAATGAAGATGAGTAGTTGTAAAGAGCAAATGCTGCGAGAGGGCTCAGTCATGATTTGCCAAAATCCGACTGAATCCCACCGTCTCGCATCGGGGAAGAAGAATACTCCTGCCAGCCTTGCACCCTATTATTTCCCCGAATGATGCATGAAGAATCTCGCCCATATTAGCAACCCCCTTGTTGGGTTTCATTATGATTGCTATTCCTGAGAGCGCAGCGAAGGATCTTCCATACCCACTTTATCCAGCACGCACTTGTCCTGTGAGGAATCGGCATCTCCACGGCCAAATTATTGTGCAGGCGGCTGGCTGGTTGGCTGCCTGGCTACTTCGGTGTCGTGTTCATGCACAAGCGTGTTGATTCGACGTGTTATGGTTGTTGCGGTTATCGATCGATATGTGGGGGATGAAGGCGCGCGTTCGTTCGTAGTGGGTCGCTTGACCGTCGTCAAGTTGCTTAATTCACCCTGCGCGCCGAGCTCGGATTTCTATTCACTGAATCTTTCCCCCTGGTTGGAAAAGTTATTACACGTCCGGCAACTGAATCTACCGCTATTGTTATTCTTCACGATAAGTGGAATGTAGCCGCCACTTGGGCGCACATCCCATTTGCTCGCTGCGCCTCCCAACCCTAATTTAGGAGGAGCTGCTGGTGAGGTGTGGGAAGACGATGGTGTGCACTAAATATGTTGTTGGCTATTATTTGCTGAATGTATGTGGCATTATCTGCAAAGAAGTTGTATCTCCTGATGAGACACAGTGCTGGTGGTGACTCGTCTGAGAATTTTGTCCTCTGTTAGGTTTACAAAATTTGTGCCTTAATTTTGTGCCCCAAAATCCTCGATCATCAGGCTTATTGGACGAACTCTAACTCGCACGCGGTGCTCGACACGCGTGACCTTATATTTGTCTGAAGCCTTTGAAAGAAGCGACATGAGGCGAGTTATGCACTTCGATAACCAATTGTTGACACTTCACTGCGTGAATTCATCGCATGATCATGCTCGCTGAATGCAGATATGCCGAGATACCCATGAAATTTGTCTCGTTGTCTGTCCCCCGCCGCGCTTATTTCGACGACGAAACTATTATATTTTTACTGTTCGTCTACCAGTCATCTCGCTTTTCTGTTTTGTCAGAAATCATGAGCTTTGGGCTTGCAGTGCCTCCAACCAGTCGCATTCTTCCGGGCAATCTCAAGTGCTGCAGCATGGCCACTCGATACTTGACTGAAAAGACGTCAAATCTTTGACAATGGAAGCTGGTGAGGAGGAGGCGCAATAACGGTGCCTTGGCTGTATTTGCAGACGATCTATCAACTGTTGCTTTAGATCAGCCTCCGGTACCAGTGACAGCAATCCTTCCTAATGATATGTTTGACTTTTCAATTAATCCCCTCAGAAGAAGCAGACTAGTGTGGGGGTTCGTGATGTACAAGAATGTGAGAATTCATTCTCGTGTCTGACGGCCTCGACTCAGCAGGGTACGGTAGCCGAATTACCGGCGCTGTAGACAACATTTTCCGCCGAACCTTATCAGAATAAATCAGGATGCCTTTCACTGCATGCCTGCCACGGTCGTCAACTACTCAATTCCAGCAAGAGTGGATGCTAATATGATGGCCTTTCGATTCCGCAGCCACGTGGAGACGTGGCTGCCTGGTCTCAATCAGGAGAAAACAGTACCTTGCAAGTAGTCTTGTCTGCATTTCGCTCACACACAAGAGCTTCGGCGTTGGGGTGCCGTCGACAGTAAGAACATTACCAACATGCGACGCTTTCGGTTAGCGTGACAAATGTCAATCCCACCCAAGAGTTATGAAAGCAAATTCTGATCAGCAAGAGCAATGGCTTCCAAAAGCTGCTGAATCGCACTGCTGGTGAGGACCATAAGCATCTTCATGCTCTCATGTGCACTAATTCATGGCACTGGTACTCCGCTTCGTTGAATTTCGTTGAAAGGATGATGTGACGATGAACGATCGTGGATGATGGTTTACTTCCGAAGCAGACATTCACCACCGTTTCGCAGCGTGGTAATAACCGGACAGTGAGAACCAGGCCTTAAAATAAAACCTTTGAAGGACTGAGTGTCAGAGTGTCAGAGTGTCATCTCATCCCCCAATTCTGAAAAATGGTCTGCTTGCCCCCGGATCGCGAAAGTCCACTCTCCTAAGCCACCGAAAAATGGCATTTATTTGGAGACATGGAGACCGATGTCGTAATGTTTCGTTTTAATTTAGTTCAACATTCATCATCCACATCAAGCAGCCAGCGCCATCCTCCGCACAGTTCAACTCGCGTCTCCACCCCTTTATAACGTACCCAGTTCACTTTGGAAAGCCAGACACACAACAAGCCTTGCAGCAAAAGCTATCTTTCTGTGGCCTCAGTGGGTGTGATGAGTCTCGTTGTGGGTCACTGCGACTCTCATGAAGTACCTTAGCAGTCCCTGAATTAATTTCCTTGCTTGAAGTTGACAGAGATTTTGCGGTAGGCTTGATTGGGTTGAGATTCGTGCTCCGTATAGGACGTTTCTTCTGCAGAGGCACACATCACATCGTCCATTTCACTGAAGGAAGGAGTCTAAGGGGAGCTGTTTCAAACCCGTAGAAGTCCGTGTTAATTGTAGTGTTCTTGGTGTCTGTTTACCCATGGTTGCGTCTCGATGAATGTTTATCGAGTAAGGTGGGTTCAAGTTTTTTCTCACAACAGTGACAACGTCACCTGGCGAACAAGATTTTCAAGAGCATCTCTGTTTCAACGTGAGAAGAAAAGTGCATGCAAGACTTCCTTCCAGGAATTTGAGAAACCGAGCTCAGAACTTACCTTACATTTCTTGCAACCATTGTGTTCAATTGTGCCACATTAAAAAATGGCGAGCTGGAGCTTGCTAGTTTTGGTGGTATGGATGGTGTTCGCGTGCGGCGTTGTGGCTGCAAGAAATCCCATGTTCTCGATTCTTGACAATCAAGGCGGCGGACGCGTGGGGCGGAGTGCTGGTGATGATGATCACCCGACGTTGTCCGTGGTGGATGCACGAGGTGGCGGCGAAGAGGATGGTGCAGCAGGGGCGGTGAGAGCCGTGTTTGACCTTGCCTACCACGGCGGGGCGTTACTGTCCGAGTCGTCGAGCATGAATGTGTACATTGTGTGGTACGGGAGGTTCAGCAGCGTGGCGCGATCGGCAATTGTGGATTTCTTTGCGTCGTTTGGAGAGTCGGCGGAGGGGGACGCGAGCGTGAGCAGGTGGTGGAAGACGACGGCGGCGTACAAGGATAATGCGAGGAGGGGAGTGGCGGGGAGCGTGGAGCTGCGCGGCGAGGTGGACTTTGGGGAGTGCAGGCTGGGGCGGAGGCTGAGCCGGTGGGACTTGGAGCTGTTGGTGGTGGAGTCGCTGGGGTGGTTTCCGGCGGATCCGAGGGGGGTGGTTGTGGTGCTGACGGCGGAGGACGTGATGGTGGAGGGGATGTGCATGAATTCGTGCGGGTCGCATTCGTTTTTGGCTCCGTCGGCTGCGACGGGAGGGCAACAGGTGGCGTACGCGTGGGTGGGCGATGCGGGGAAGCAGTGCCCGGGAATGTGCGCATGGCCGTTGGCGGGTGCGGAGTACGGCCCCGCGGAGTTCGTGCCTGTGGTGGCTCCGAACGGGGACGTGGGCGCGGATGGGATGATCATGAACATCGGGAGCGTGCTGGCAGGCGCGGCGACGGATCCTTACATGAACGGGTGGTACCAGGGCGATGTGGGCGCGGCTCTGGAGGCAGGGACGGCGTGCGCGGGGATCTACGGGGAGGGGGCGTATCCAGGGTACCCTGGGAAGCTGCAAGAGGATGCGGTGTCGGGGGCGAGCTACAACGTGAGGGGAGTGGGGGAGAGGAAGTATTTGCTGCCGGCGTTATGGGACCCGGTGACGCGGACGTGCGCACCGCCGTCGTAGAGGAAGAGGAAGGGAAGGGAAGGGGGTGAGGAGAGGGAGGGAGGGTGCGCGTGGAGGTGGAGGTGGCGGTGTACAGAGAGAGGGAGGTGTGAATATATGGGGTGGTCACGATAGATTCTTTTTTGGCGGCAAGAGAAGGTTGAAGGTGTAGCATACACGAGAGACGGCAGTGACGATGGAGGTACTACCAGATGATGTGTGCAAAGAAGAGAAATATAGAGAAATGAAAATGGCGCAAAGCTGAAGCAGCGATGCATGTTGTACATACACATTCTTGCTCTGTTGGACTCTACAGCTTGTTTTCTTGTGTTGCATGTGATTTTGGATTGATTGAATGTGCATGACATCATTTGTGTGCAGAGTCCTTGTCTTGAATGTGTCATCTTTGAACAGTTGTGCTTTTTCGAGTTGTAACTTGTCAACTTTGAAACGTGGTCTTGGATCAAGTGGTTTTGAGAAAGCGTAGTGCTGTTTGAAGTCTTTCCACATTTGCTTGTTTGCAGTGAACAGGTCGAGTTGTGCATGGTGAAGGATGTGAGATAAGCTTGCAATTTTGCAGATTCACTTGAACCGAGATGATGCGGATGTTTGTCCTCGTTCATGTTGCTAGTAAATTGGCATCAATTTTTACATCTCTTCTTTTGTCACGTTGCTTTGATGTTATGTTGATTGCATTCGGGTTTGCGTGTTCAACCTTCGTCTTATGCCACTGGATTTTTCATATTGGATGTTAATTAAGAAGAGTCAACTTGATTGTCAGCGCCAGGTTGATAGGAATGTATATCAATGAGATAAGTGAAAGAAGTTGCCTTACATATGTGCTTATCAGTAATTGGTCTTGAATACTTCGAATATGGGTCCAACTAGCGAAATTTTTTTGCTTCTCATAATTTTTCCTGCATTCACTCGTCCTGGTAATTTTTCTTTGAATGCGCCGAATAGAGATTAAACTAGCGAGAATTGTGTACTTAGCATAATCTGCCGGTTGTTCTTTCAATGAAAGTCCTTACTTGAAAAATAGTGTTTATCTTTCCTCCAAAACATTGGATTTGAATAGTTAGATCAGCTGATCTATACATTTTTCTTGCTCAGTGGGTCCGTATGCAGAAGCCTTTTGCCACTGGTTAAGATTACCAGTGTAACGTATATAACACAGCTTTGGCGTAAATTAGACCAATTGTACTTCAAAACACGTATTGCACTGCAGGCGCACAACTGAGAATGTGATCTCGCTACAGAAAATGGACAATTGCCAGTTCACTAAATTGAGACAAACTGATTGGAAGATTATTATCATGAAATGCCTGAATGAAGAGATCACGTTCCTCTCATGCGACTCCAAAACACTAAAACGGTGAAATCCCAGCCTCAACTTGGTCGGTCTTACTCTTTAAGCTGCAATTTTCTTGAGCTCAAATTTGAATCCCAACAGTTTGGACGTCAAGGATGAAGTTATCTCAAGCATGGGTATAAAGACCTCACTCCAGAAAGTACTTAGAATTCGTTCTGAGCAGTTAGATACAAGATTGTATAATTTAACATTGGGATCACAACATATTCTTTACTACAATAGCAACGAGTGGTAGTAGTGTCTCACATGCCACACAAAAAAACTGCAAAAAACGATCGAACCGTGGCAAGAGATCGAAACTTCTAGCTCTAAATTGTACCGACAGTAATACTCCAGAGGTTGTGCAAATCGCTTCGCTGATTGCGAACATTGTAGTTGGCTGCTTTAGACCGTAGCGTCGACTTTGCATTCTTTATTGCCGCTGGGAAGGCATTTGGGAGTAAACTTGTGGGTTGCAATCCACCAAGTGTTGCCTGCAGGGTCCTTGACAGTGCTGACGCGATCTCCATAGAACTCGTCCCTGGGCCCATGTACCGATTCGGCCCCTTTGCTCAACGCCAGCTCGTACGTTTTGTCGACATCCTCCACGTAAATGTGCATCCACACTGGAAACGGTGGGTAATCCTTGCACCCATCAGAGATCATCACTGTTGTGTCGTCGATGCGAAGGGACGCATGCCTGACGGATGTGTTGTCATCACTCATCATCTTGCAAACCACCTGCGCATTGAACACGTTGGTCATGAAGTCGATCGCCTTATGGGCAGCACCACTCACCATGTACACCGACACGGTGCTTGATTGCTGTTCCGGTTTCCACTCAGCTCGTGCATTGGTTGCCATTGGAAGGGAATGACTATTGACTTGACGATGGATCTAACTGAAGCTATCTACGTCGACAAGTGCAAATCCCTCACAAAATGTTTTGACGAGATGTACTTGAAATGTTAGTTCAAGGCATGGAGTATAGCTCTTATATCCACATTTATATTATTTTAAACTCTGGTGCAGCTGATTTGAAGGAGCTTCACTGAGAAGACTTGTCCAATAAAACCCAGACGCCAGAACATGTTCTGACAAGGGACTGTGGGACCTAGCCCTAAAACAGGAGAATAGCAGTGGAAACCTGCTGAGGTTGGGAATATGTTGGACTTGCGATGAAGGTGCGCGTGAAGTTTCGATGCAATTTGCTTAGACTTCTTTGCGCAGCAACGGCGACAGAAATTGTTGCCACGATTTACTAAAAGGTTCAAGCAGAGTTACGTTAGCCATTTTTATGTTGTTTGCAGTGCTTTTCGAAGTACTTGAAAATCTTACCTCTGAAGTTTTTATGTGTGATTCAGAAATTTGTAATTCAAAGGATAGGGTCGGCATGCCAACAACTTTGAGATTTAGCGGCTTTTTGCACTCTAGTTTGTTTTTTGTTTCTTATATTGCTTGGGTTTAATCTGAACGGCACATGATCTCTTGGAATGCGAGGCAATTTTCGGGAATGTGTAATTCAGTAATGTCGATTGCAGTTGCCATCCTCCTTCCACAACTCGCTACCTACACATTTCCGGCACACGAAGAGACCAAGTGGGTCGACGCGCAACTTGACGGCCATCAGTCTGCGGTAGTTGGAATACCCCCAGAAGGAGCGTTGCCACTGCGGTTCATCGATACTGGCTTCATTCAAATAAGCCCCTGCGTTAGGGAATGCAGAATGCAAAGACTTAACAAAACCCTTCATGTTGTTGCGCGCTGCTAGTTTTGTCACCTCTGTTGCATTCCACTCCCAAGTGGACCAAGAGGCCAAGTGCCAGATTCCCTCTCGCCAAGCAGTAGTAACGGATGTCTGTCTGTGAGGATCTGCCGCGCGAACTCCTGGTCCAATTACCATGTGCCCCAACACTGCACCATTACCACCGAGTGCCATGGCTGCCACGATGCTCTTGGCCAGGCGACGAGGATGTTTCAGTGCCGAGAAGGGAATGATGCGGGATCCAAGCAGGACCCGATGCCCTGTATAGTCTGTGAGCGTGCCGGGATAGATAACCTCGTAGTCTGCAGCATGCCAATCCTGGAACGTGGAATGGTTGCGCATTACATAATAGGTCGCCGTCACATTCTCTATTTGTGTCAAAGCTCGCACAATTGGGGTGAGGGTTGCATTAGCAGCCGCCAGCGTGGCAGGAACTACCAATTCGCCAACGAATTGCACTGAACTAAAACCCCAGTATCCGGCCCACAGCGCGGCGTCCAGTGAAACCGTCCCTCGTGACCAAACTGTCAAGATCTCCTCCTGGGTTTCAACGCTCCACGAGGTTCCATTCGATGGTGAAAGCAGCAGAAACGCCCCTACAATGTTGCTCGGATTCTTGTGGAGCTTGTACGTGACCGAAACCACCACTCCAAACGTCCCACCTCCACCTCCGCGCAAGGAAAAGAAGAGCTCCGGATCGTGGCACGCATTTACGACACGGAACTCGCCATCAGCTGTCACCACCTCCATCTGCAGTACATTGTCAGCGCCTAGCCCAAAGGAAGGGCCCAGGGCGCCGTGACCACCACCCTGAATGAAACCACCTGTAGCACTGACAGTAAGTGACATTCCTCCCAACACAATCCACCCCGTGCCCTTCAGTGCATCATACACTTCCCCCCACGCAACTCCCCCATCTACTTTTACAACCGGATTGCCACGCTCGCCCCCACACGACACAAATGATTCATCGATGGTGATGTTCTTCCACTTGTGCATCCATATCAGAAAGGACCCAGCTGCTGAGCTCCGGCCCAGGAAGTCATGGCCGCTGGTCTTGACAACGACGCGAAGTTTGTGCCGCGCAGCAAATTTGACAGCGCTTTGAACGTCGCGTGTTGTTGCGACTTGTACTCCGTATAGCGGGACTCGGCCTTGGTGACAGACGCTGCTTTCGGGTGCGTACATGGAGCAGGATTTCTGGCCATCGTCCTCCCAATTCTCGCTCTGCATGCTTCCAGCGTTGTCTGCTCGCAAGTAGGCATCAAACCAATTGTTTCGAATGTGTTGACATAGGGTCGCGCTTCGATGTGGACCGTGACAGGGGCTCCCTGGCATGAATTCAAGCGCATGTGAATCGCTGAAGCGTGACATTAGCATCAGGAAAGTATCTCGAGCAACGAATTCCAAAGCTTTCAAAAACCATTTCAGTGAAAACGTTTGAATTCACAAGAAAAGTAAGTGTACATGATGTTCGTTAGTTGTGCTGGAAAATGCAACATTAGAATCTGCAAGCCCGAGAGCTATCAAACTTCAAAGATTCACACTCTGCAACCTCGTAATCGCGACGAATGCCTGGTGAAAGGGTTCTAGTGATGGTGGGGCGAATTACCCGTTGGTTTGGGAAGAATCAAGCGACCGCAGACGGTCACGTTGAATGCATCCCAATCTTCAGGAGATGGCCAGCAGGCGGATTTGGAATCCACACAACGGCAGAGGTTAATGTCTCCGCGGGATACACCAGCACCAATTGCAAGGAAAAACACGAAGTAAATCGAAACCCGGTTGGTCAGCATGGCTGGTTGACTTCGCGGTTCCGGGTCCTTGAATCTTTCAGCGCGCAGCCACTCCACTCACTCCTCGAGATACTAGAACGTTCTCAATCCTATCTGCAACAACACACACATATGAGAACACCATGTCAAATCCATCCCTCCACTTGCAGCAGCTCAGAGCCTGCCAACATGACCACCATGTCGCAAGTTACGTGAGCTCCAGAACGAAACCACCGCACACATGGTTCAGACCACCGCCAAATCGCTACCGATTTAATCGAAACATTCGGACCCAGGTCATGGACCTAAGTACAGACCAGGAAACAAGTGTGACACAGGGACCACCCGGCATCTGTGGCTTCATTCCCCGATTCATTCACAGAGCTCGCGCAAAAAGCCTGCGGAGCAGACGTGACCTTGGACGCAACATTCCACCAGTCTAGCCTCACGTTTGCTAACAGCAGCAAGCAAGCAAGCACTGAGCTCCCTCCAAACTTGCTGGTTCCTTCAAAGCGGAGCATGAGTAATCACAATAATCACGAGCATGCGTAATCACGATAATGGTTCCTTCAAAGTTATCACGATAAGCACACTGAATGCAGCAAAGCATGAGTGAGTGTGTGAGTGAGTAAGCACGGATTGCAGGAGCTGAATGGGCGACTGACTGGGTGCACCCCAATTGTCCTGGTTTTATGTGATCGACCCGGAGTAGTAGCTATCCTGGTTGCAGTCAGTGTCTGTGAGACTCGGGGCCCATGTTCAGGGGTGCGCAAGTGCACAAACACTGCCATGTGGGGGCCAAGTCCACAGTTGCCGTGTCTGAGTTTGAATTGTCGTCGATGTGATGTTTGCTCATGCCGAACTGGTGCCATTGAACTTTCCGTCGACTTGCCCCTTTGTTTTTCTGTCTCCTTGCACGGTTGCCTTCTCACCAACATTGTTTGTTTCTGTGACTATGAATGTGTGTTGGTTGGTTGGTTGGTTGGTTTGTTTGTTTGTTTGTTATTGTGTATATGTTGTGATCTCCTCTTCTGTTGTTTGGAGCTCTCACTTCCAAGGTATGAGCTCTTGTGAGGATTGCTCAGTTAAAGTTGATTCCTTTTGGCTTTTGGTGTTCGAGTTGCGTGTGTGTGTGTTTTATGAGGTAGTTCGACAAAGATTGCGAGGCCTGTACACACTTTTGAGTTGGATCATTCATGAAGCCTGGGGCTATGTTCCTTTCTTACTGATGTTACACCTATGCCCAGCCACCAAACACACACACACACACACATATATATATATATATATATATATATAAAACTTCGGGTATAAAAACAAGTGGTGAAGATCTTAAGGAATGTAACTGAAAACCCCACATTGCTTGCAAATACGCTTTGATTGGTTTGTTAGTTGTATGTTTCGAAGTGAGAGGAGTGGTAATTGATAAAACATATCAATCAGGAGTTGAGTTGAAATTGAACATAATTGATCTTGAATTTTTATAGTTACTGTCGTAGTTGTGGTGAATGAAATTGGGACTTTTATGAACAAGTGATTGAATTTTAATCATGTTTTCATTGTTGTTGCATGACAACACCACACAAAAATCAGAATAGTCGTTGTGTAAAAACTAGGTCATTTTGAAAATGTGTGTATTGGTTTGTATTTCAGGATTTATCTCTACTGAACAAACATTTATGATATCTATAATATTTTATTGCAAATGTACTCTGGAATAAATGTAGTTTAATTTCTTAACTTTTTATTCTGAGATGAAACTATAATTTATTGAACACATAATAACTACAAATATACTAGTCAGTTAATTTTTACTTTTTACTTTTTTAATTCTCTTTCCATTTTCATGTTTAGTACTTTAATTGTGGTCTTTAAAAAAACAAACCTTTCAATATAATATAGATAATATTACTATTTATTTTGGATTTTTATCCATGATGTAATAGAAGTATATTGCAGCATTCTAAAGCCTCAACATTGGAGCAGAGTTAAAAATTCCCCTAAAACAAAATATCAATTTCATTCTCATTGATCTTCTATTATGAATTTGATATCATTCCTTATGATTTTAATGGTGGTTGGTGGCACTTGACTTCAAAAAAAAGTAGTTCTACATTACAACTAATTAATCTTTTTTTTTTTTTTTTTTTTTTTTTAATTTTTTTTTAGTGTTGTTGTTAAAGTCCATCTAGGTTTAGCGTTTTAATGGAGCCTTTCAACAACTATAAAAATATGCCAAATTTACATTACAATGCTTCTCTCAACACTTTTATGCTCTCAAGTATTGAAAATAATCATAGTTGTCTATGAATTCTGACTTCATTTAATGTAATCGTTTTTATTATTTTTTAGCCTAATATTTGCAAGTTGTTGATGTAATCAAATGTCCCTACTCATCTACACACTCTCAACTTCACTTTCCATTCTACTAGTGTACCCTTAAATCTATTAAAAAACAAATAGTAAAAGCATGAGTATTCAAGTTATTATGCCAAGTCTCCCAGAGTTTTAGGCCAGATAAAATTTGTTGTGGAGCTCCAACCTTGAATCTTTCATATTTTGGCATTACAAGTAAAGTTCATTGAAACTTTACTCGCTTGCATTTCATTGTCAAGAAACCTTTTTGTGATTGCATAACAATTAATTATCAACATCTTTGATAAAGCAAGTTTTCACTATAAAGTGCACCGAATGGCTTTTGAATCTTTGACATAAATGTTGACAAACTATGACTTCTTTCTTTGTTTTATGTGTAAAAGAATGTAATTAAATATTGAATATCAAATAATGCAATTTCATTTTTTTGCAGTTGCTTCTTTTTTAATTCAAATCTCAATTGCGTGCTGTACACCACTTCTCAGAACTGTTGTGAAACAATATTGGCGAGCCACCAGTCAATTCTTTTTACACAATGGTAAGTAGTGCACAATAAAAGTGATTCACTTGTAATTATTTCTTATAACATTCTATGTATTCACGGTGCATTAAATCAGTTATTAGTTGGTGATAACTTCACAATATTGGTACATTTGTTTCACAGAATATAATTTGTAATTTAACTATTTGGATTTTGTGTGTTTGAAACAAAGTTTTACAATCTGAATTGTGAAACAAGATCATATAAATACAACATTCTTTTGGGTAAAAAAATATAGGAATCAAGATTTAATCTTCAAAGTAAAATTTATGTGTATATATATAAAAATGAATATATATATATATATATATATATATATATATATTTGAAAAAACGCATTTAGCAAGCTAACTGATTATCAGAGTCGTCTAGCTACTGAATTATTTGTTGTTATTGAAGCATTTCACAATACACAACATTGGTTGTGGAATTTCCATTTGCGAAGCAATCAAAGACATTTGGAATGCGTTTGGCTCAATAATGAGTGACATGTAGCCAACTTCAATTCTATATATGTGAGGATGGCCTTCACTACATTGAAGATCGACTGAAAATAAATCAGCATCTATGCTTTAGTTTGATCTTGTTTGTTTTACTTTGTGTATTTGCGCTCTTGGTAATTGGAAGATGGTAGGGACGAAGTGAGACTATGTTTCACAACAATATTGCAGTTCCCAACTTTGTATATGGAAGAGCAATACAAAAACTTCTTTCAATCTAAATTCAAAAGAAAGGAATTAAAACAAATTACATGCTTTTGTTTATTTATTTGTATTGGCTTCTAAGGAAATAGAAAAAGAAAAGCCTTGAGTCTTTTTAAATTTGTGAAGAGTGCACAAAATATTTGTAATTGAGATGGTGGAAGTATTAACCTAATGCCATATTGTAAATTGCTTTGAAGATTTGACTTACATGTCTTATAAAGTTAATTCCTATTGTTATAGTTCCTATTATTTTTGTACTCAAGCTCATACTTTTGTACTTGTGTGCTTGATTTCTTTTTACTGAATGCTTGAGAAAATTTCAACATGTGATCAGGCTTTTCTTTTTCTTTTTCTTTTTTCTTTTCTTCTTGAAGCTTAGGCCACCTATAATGATTTTCGCAAAATCACCCATCGCAAAATTCACCCAATTTAAAAAAAATTCAACCCTGTATATTTGAGTATTGATAAAATCATGGACAAAGCAAACTATGCTGATGTTGTGATACTCAGTCTCCTCAGCAGTACCCTCCTGATGTTGCAAAATTATCTATTTGTTAAAAAAAAAAGAATAATGCCTACAAAAGATATGTTTTAAAATAACAAAAAATATTATAAGACTCTCAAATCCAAAATATACATGAAACATCTCTTGTGAAGTGTCTTACAGTTCTACATGAAAATATTTTATAAAATTTTATTTTAAAATAAATATTACAACAACAATATTGATAATGTTATTGATGGAAATCTGCCAATGCAGTAAACTCTACAGATGAGTCAACATAACATTTCTTCATCAATTATCAAGTTTTAAGAAAATTACATCACATTGTTCAGATGGTCTGCAAATGATCCACCACAACTTGCACAACATCGCTTCTCTAATACACATGCACCAAGCATTGAAGTATACAACAAAAACTTGAGCAGCTGAATTATTCTCCACCAAGAAGCACTTTGCAACTTTTATTCAAGTCAGAGTGGATCCCCTCCTTGGAATAGATCAATGAGAAGCTCCCGAGTTGCAATATACGATGTGCATTTAAACGTCTTGACCCGATTTTAATTTGGCTTGTTGTAGAGGTGTGAAGATGGGCATTTCTGGAACCTTGAAACAAAGGAGAATGTAGTGGTCTTGTAGTAGTCTTGCCGAGATTGTTGTGAGGTATTGTAGCACCTTAGAATGATGTCTCAATGAGACTTGTATCATGTTGTAACACAACTGTAAAGTAAAATAGGAAAACATTAATTATGGTTTAGAGAGACATGGATAAAAAGATAGGAAGGTAGTAAACACATTTAGTATTAATATTGCCTTTTTGTGAAAAAAAAAAAAATCTATTAACTTTGTAGGATGATAAACAATACAAAATAAAGTAGATAAAATAATAATAATAATATAGGCATCTTTAGAAGAGAGTTAAGAATATTTTCTATTAAAAGTTTCTTTCCAAAGTAAGAAATTGATACTTGAAGAGGATTGATTATGAACTAGAGTTGAAACCAAACCTTAAAGAAAAAAATACGCACCTATGGCAATTTTAAGATTATTGTTTTTTTGATTAGAGAATAAGATTTGAAAGTAGACTAAAAAAAGTTTCATTGGGCATCGATTTTACTTGATTTAAGTTTGCAATGACTTTGTAAGAGCTTTGCAAAGTCAAAGATGTGTTGGAATGACTTTGGTTTTTATAAAATAAAAGGTATAAAAAGGTATAAAAAGATTTATTTTGGAGAATTTTGTGAGATTTGTAAGTGATCTATAAGTAAACATTTGTGATTTTGTGATTATGTTTATGTTGAATGTGTGATGTAAATTTGAACTTTATTAAATAATTAAATTAATGGTTTTTAAAATTTGAGTAAGTTGAGATCTTAAAAATCATATTTTTAAGATTTTTTAAGATTTAAAAAAAAATCTAATTGAATTGAAGAGAAATTTAATAAACTTGTAAAAAAAACTTGTAAAAAAGATTATAAAAATATTGATGCTAAGAAATAGCATCAAGATTAGAGAAGGAGGTCGTCTAACACTTAAGCAATTTATGAGATTTTTTTTTCA